TTTTTTTTTTTTTTTTTTTTGTAGAGATGAGCTCTCACCAAGTTTCCTGGGCTGGTCTCAAACCCGTAGGCTCAGGCAAGCCACTCAGCTCAGCCTCCCAAAGTGATGGGCTTTCTGCTCTTTTTTGTTCTGTTCTGTCTTGTTTTTCCCCTTTGCAGCCTGCCTTGGAGATCATTTTATTATCGGTTCAGAAGATCTCCTTTCCCTGTGTTTTCAGCTACACAATGTTTCATCACACGGACAAGCCGTAATGTACTTGCTAAGTCTTTATTAGTGGCTGGTTTAGAACCTGTGCTCTTGACGGTGTTGAGGCACCTTTGAGTGGGATAGCACCGGCATCACCACGGGCCCCCAAGGGCCACATGACGCAAGGGCCTCACGCATCCATTCATTCCAGGGATTCCGGTCGAGCAAGCATTAATTACCTTGGCTGGCAGAAGCCTCAGCCCTAAAGGAGGTCAATCAAGTAAAGGGGCCACCGTACAAGAAAATGAAGAATTGCAAAGTTAAAATACCATATGGTGTGTACTCTAAACAGAGGGAAGCAGAGAGGAACACAGGAGAGTTGTCACTAGTCAGACCCACCCGTCGGAGAAGGCTTTACCCTCTCTTTCCAGCCCTAACCCTACTCCTTCCAAGACATCACTGTATCAGGACATAGCGCCCTATTTCCCCAACTGCCTGAGTCAGGGTCATCTCATCAGAAGGGAACCCAGACCACCTCACCCTCTGATTAAAATCCTTCAAGAGCTTTCCACTCTGAGCATAAAGACCTTTAGGTCAGGTGCAGCGGCTCACGCTGTAATCCCAGCACTTTGGGAGGCCAAGGTGGGAGGATCGCTTGAGCACAGGAATTCAAGACTGGCAATACAGCAAGACCTTGTCTCTACAAAAAAAAAATCAAAAAAATTAGCCAGACATGATGGCGGATGACGGTAGTCCCAGCCACTTGGGAGGCTGACACAGGACGATTGCTTAAGCCCAGGAGTTTGAGCCTACAGTGAGACGTGATTGTGCCATTGCACTCCAGCCTGAGCAACAGAGTGAAGACCTTTAGCAGGAGGCCTTGTGTGATCTGGCCCCTGCCAGTCCTGTACATCTTGTATATAAGCCTCTCTCCAGGCACAGTGGTCCCTTTGAATCCCTCAGGCACAGCAGGGGCTTATCTTAGGGCCTCGGTACTAGGTGTTCCTTCTGCCCAGGACCCTGTCTGCCTGTGGATCTCAGCGTCAAGCCACCTGCTCCAAAAGGGGCCCTGATTCCCCCATCTAAGTAGTGCTCAATCTTTTTTTCCCTCCTAGCTCCCTGCTCAGTTCCTCCCCAGTGTGATGATTTCCTTTGTTTAATTATTTACTTTTCTGTCTTTCCACTAAAGCAAAGCTCTGGGCTCTGGTTCACTCATACAGTAGCTCTGTCGTGGGTGATGCTGTCAAGAAAGCAGATGGTAGGCTGAGCATGGTGGCTCATGCCTGCAATCCCAGCACTTTGGGAGGCCAAGGTGGGAGTCTCACTTGAACCCAGGAGTTTGAGACTAGCCTAGGCAACATAGCGAGACCTTTTCTCTACAAAAAAAATATGAAATTAGCCAGGTGGGTGGTACACTCCTGGAGTCCAAGTGACTTGGGAGGTTGAGGTGGAAGGATCTCCTGAGCCCAGAAGGTGGAGGCTCTGGCGAACCATGATTGTGCCACTGCATTCCAGCCTGGGTGACAGAGAGAGACTCCAACTCGACAACTAAAGGGAAGGAAGGAAGGAAGGAAGGAAGGAAGGAAGGAAGGAAGGAAGGAAGGAAGGAAGGAAGGAAGGAAGGAAGGAGATGGTTAGATGGAGTTTGGGGTACCCAATTATCAGGCATCAGTATCTGTAAAGGAAAGAGGGTGAAGCAGGATTGGGTAAAGGGAAAAGCCTGCACTCTAGACTGGGTGACAGAATGAGACCTCCAACTCAAAAAAAAAAAAAAGGAGGGAAAAGCCATACTGCAATGCAGGCCCCACAAAATCTCTACCAGCCTGGCAGGAAGCTCAGGAATCTCACATTCCCCTTTTTGTTCAGTTGCCAGATGTGAGTAGCCCTGGGAAGGTGTAACCTTCAAAAAGGCAGGTCTCTGCAGCTGGGGCAGACCCTGACGTCACTGGCCACTGGAGGTTCTCTGCTGACCACACTCCCACCAGCTAGACAGTGACTTCTTCCTGTAGGGGATCCACTCAATGCCTCACCATGACTACCTCAATTCCCAACTCCTAGCACAAAGCCTATAACATTGTAGCTGCTCGGAATTTACTGAATGGATGAATGGATTGGCACTTGATTGGGCCTTTTTTTTTTTTTGAGTCAGAGTTCTCACTGTGTCGCCCAGGCTGGAGTGCAGTGGCACAACGACAGCTCAAGGCATCCTCCACCTCCTTGATTGAGTTTTGAAGGACGAATAAGATTTGGATCAGTGGACAAGGCAGGAAACATGTATTAGTGCATAAGGCTTAGCTTGTACATAGATAGAAAGGTATTAAAAAAACATGGAACAGCCAGGCACAGTGGCTCACGCCTGTAATCCCAGCACTTTGGGAGACTGAGGCAGGAGGATTACTTGAGCCCAGGAGTTGGAGATCAGCCTGGGTAACATAGCAAGACCTTGTCTCTACAATCAATCAAAAAATTAGCCAGGTATGGTGGAACGCACCTGTAGTCCCAACTACTCAGGAGGCTGAGGCAAAAGGATCACCTGAACCCAGAGGGTGGAGGCTGCAGTGAACCATGATCGATCGTGCCACTGCACCCAGCCTGGGTTATAGAGTGAGACCCCTACTCAAAAAAAAAAAAAAAGCCCAGCACAATGGCTCACACCTATAATCCCAGCACTTTAGCAGGCTGAGGAGAGAGGATTGCCTGTGCCCATGGGTTCGAGACCAGCCTGGGCAACTTGGTGAGTTTTCATCTCTATATAGTAAATAAAAAAATTAGCTGGGCGTGGTGGCCCGTGTCAATAGTTCCAGCTACTTGGAAGACTGAGGCGGAAGGATCACCTGAGCCCAGTAAGTCAAAGCTGCAGTGTCCGTTATTGTGCCACTGCACTCCAGCCTGGGCGACAGAGGAGACTCCAACTCAAAAAAAAAAAGGAACATTCTCCAATCCACAAATAAAAAGACAGGACCAAATTGCCATGCAAGAAAGTGAAGGAATAAAATTCAAGTGGTAGGCAAGGGCCAATGGGCAAGGGCCTTGTAAATTGCACTTGATTTTGACTCTGCTGGCAAAAGGAAGCTTTAAAAGAGTTTCAAGCTGGGCTCGGTGGCTCAGCCTGTAATCCTGCACCTTTGGGAGGCTGAGGTGAGTGATTGCCTGAGCCCGTGGTTCGAGACCCGCCTGGCAGC